GGAGGACGGAGAAGGAGTCCCACGTGCGTGTGTTTTAGGAAGAATTGGTGGCAACACAAAAGCTGGCCTGGAAGTGAGAGGCGGGGCCAGAAAGTCATGGAGACTGCGATGAGGGCGCAGAGGCAGGATGGACCCGAGGGAGGCAGTTAAAGAGCAGCAACAAGGCGTGGCGAGTGTGGACGTGGCAGAGGGCTCGGGAGGAGGGAGAGTCACCATTGAAGGGGTTCAGCTTTAACCAGGGGCAAAGCAGGGAGAACTGGCTTTGTGGAAAGGCAGCAGGCATGGTTTGGGCCTAGTATATGGAGGCAGGTTTAGAACAGCCGGGGACACTACCGAGGAGCCGCTGCAAATACAGAAATAAAGGGCCTGCCGCCCCTGCTGCGGGCAGAGCTCTAGTTTGGGGGGCGTGAGCACATGGCAGCGTGCTCGGAACGAGGGGTAAGGTTACTCGGGGAGCAGCAGCTGTGACAGCAGAAGGCAGAGTCGGGGTGGGGGGGGGAATAACCCTAACTCTCACCTGGTGGGCGGGGGAGACAGAATTGTTGGCGACAAATTCCGAGTCAGAGCCGTGAGGTGCAGAGGGCTTTTCCGGGCACTGAGCAGGAGGGTCGGAGGGCAGGAGCGGGGGCAGGGGAGGGGTGAGGCCTGTGCGTGGTCAAGCAGGTGGTATCTCACCAACTTTAGGCCGTGTCACTTCTCCCGGTCAGAGAGGAAAGGGAAGGACAAGCCTGAATTCCACGCGTGCCCCTTCCGTTCTCCAGGTGTTGCAAGGGGACGGGAGACGGTGGGCGGTGGCAGCAGGCTGGCCTTGGGCGAAGGCAGTACCTGTGGGCAGACGCAGCACCGGGACCTGGGAGGTGGGGAGGCCGAGACAATTCTCTCTGAAGCTTTCCGCCTCCGTTTGGCCCTAGAAAACTCAGGATTGTTTTCAACAGAATGACGCCCCCTCTGCAGTAACTCAGGATGACAGTTGAGTATAACCTCCCGTTTTTCTCGCCTCGCTTTCTAAACCGGACTGACCCGTGTCAACGTGGTTCTGTCCTGGACACAGAGCCTAGTTTCTGGGTCAGCTTTCCTCATGGGCCGTGACAGACTGCACCCGGCCCCCAATCGCACAGCCTCACAGACAATGATGGTCCACACGGGTGAGCCCAGCCAGGCATGGGGGAGTGTTCGAGGGTGAGGCCACGCAAGCGAGCAGAACCATCCCCATGGTCCTTTCCAAGGATCCGAGGCAGTCATTGAGTTTACCCAGTTTTTTCTAGGTATCTGTCGTTAAAACCAACATCCCCACAAAGTCTGTGGAACATAACCAATAACCATTGTTCATAGTTAACCATTTATTAGCATCATTACATGTGATTCGGGGCAATGAGACAACTGAAAAACTGGAAAAAAAAAGAAAAATCACCCTGGTAGGTCGGCTTTCTTGCTTCTAATCCATGACCCCAGAGGTCACAGAGGTCACCCACACATATTCTCTGGCGGATCGGCTGCTCGGTGCTCTTCCCCAGTCATTATAACCGATTTCAGATGGTGCTAGAAAATTCTATTGACTCTGAACACCAAAAGAAATCAGTCATCCTCTAAGGGGTCACAGGAGGACGCGGGGTGGCAGGACGAAGATGAGTCAATCTCCCGTAATTCAGCCCTTCAACCCGCGTGCACGGAGCTTGTATTACAGGAAAAGCACTAAGGGAGGTTCCTTACACAGGTGAGTATGAGGGCCTCACCATGAGACGTCCTGCGTAACCAGCTAGTCCCATGTAACCGTCGGGTGGGCTGCGTGGGGCGGGCTCTCAGGCGGCTCGTCCCTGCCTCCGGGCTGCCCGTCACTCCTCTGCTGCTGGCCCGGCGGATGGTCTTCCCAAAGAACACTGATTTCAAATGGTGCTAGACAATCACTATTTAAATCTAAACCACCATATGAAACCAGCTTCCTGAGGAAGCTTTGTGATCGTTCTGTGGCCTTTGGAATGCGGTGCAGGTACGAGAACCTAGAAAGGAAAACATGAAAGCCTGGCTGTGAGCTGTTGCCGTGTGCTCTAAACAGAGCTTCAGCAGGTCTCATCCCTGCAGACGCTGACATCCCCCAACGGGGGGCGGGGGTGCCCAGCAAAGGCCAGGTTACCACCCGCCCCAGCCTCTTCGCTCCTGGGGAGCCAAGGGAAACCCTCCACCGGGTAAAGGAGCCAGAGGTCATGCTGGGGTCAGAACATCTGGGCACAGGACAGCCAGAGGCAATCCTGGGGTCAGAACACCTGGGCACAGGACAGCCAGAGGTCACCGTGGGGTCAGAACACCTGGGCACAGGACAGCCAGAGGCCATCCTGGGGTCAGAACACCTGGGCACAGGACAGCCAGAGGTCACCGTGGGGTCAGAACACCTGGGCACAGGACAGCCAGAGGTGGCGCTGAAGAGCCTCACGCTCACAGAGGTGCGCACAGTGAGCAGATGCTCTGGCAGGAGTAGAAGAAAACCCTTTCCTGAACTCCCACTTTCACTTGGAGGTAACTTTGGTTCAAAGGAAAACTGTGATTTCAGGGCCGAGGAGGACAGTGGGTGAGTTCAGAGGCAAAGTAACGTGTTGATGCTAATGAGATCCCGGTGTTTTTCCAGGAGGAACTCCTTCGACTGCATCCTGCGTCAAGGGTTTTGTTATTGTCCTCCCCCCTTCCCTCCCGCCCCCCCACCCCCCCCCCGAAAAGGTAAGGCTTCGTACTCTCATTCTCCTTGACAATCAGTCTTGCTACGATTTCCCCCCTTCCCACTGCAGTTCTCAACAGCATCTTATTAGGCAGCCTACTGCCATTCCCTTTAATGTTCTAGGGATCCAAGAAGTTACTGAATGCATCTGGGCCACCCTGCTAAAGGCATGTGCCTTCCTTTTTAAACTATGAACCGTCTTAGGTATACATCACATTTGAGTGATGATGAAATGAAATCTTACACTCATACCACCCGAGTTCAACCGTGGTTCATGTCTGCCAGTTTTGCTTTAGCTGTGTCATCTATATGTAAGATACGTTTGTGTTTTGCTGAATCATTTGAAACAAAATTGACAACCATCCTGACCCTTGGAGACTCCTACCTTCTCGAGCATGTCTACAAAATGAGCCAGAGGCCGTCCTGAAAAGCGAGGCCATTTCTCAAAAACATATACTTTAGAGTTTTTTGTTTCCAAACCGAGATCCCATCAAGGTTGACGCACTCAGACTCTTTGGTCTCTTTCAGCCGAAACGCTCCCCTGCCCAGTGTTTATCGTGACAGCGTCACCCGTGAAAGTGGGCTCCAGGTTTAAATAAATTAACCAAACTTAGTTCCTCCTTTTGCCTTTCCTCACATCTCACCCTCACTTGCACTCCAGCTCTGAGTGTGGGAAGAACATCCCATTACCGGTGCCTGTGGTTGATTTCAGGTGGGTTCAGAGGATGCTGGTAAGCCGGGGGTGGGGGGGGGCGGTGCGGGGGGCAGCACAAACTCGCCCTTCATGATGGAACAGCACCCGCTGCGCAGGCCTGCTGCTGCCCGGCCAGCTTTTCATCTCTGGAACGAGGGGACAGGACTCGTGGCCGCAGAGGTGTGCCAGTCACGTCATCCAAGACGCAGCGGCTCAGCGGCCGCACCGAAGCGCACACAGGTATGAAGTGACAGTGGTTACCCTTTCACAGTAAATGGAAGCATTTAAACTGGAAACGGCCGGGCCAGAGGGACACTGGAACTCTCAAGTAACTAGTCACTGATTCCGTGGTTAATTTCTCGGTCCACCTCGTGGGCTACTGTATCGTAATACCAGTGACCACGTCTGCAAGATGGAGCCAGTGTTCGCATCCGTTAAGAAATCTAAAATCCACAACGAAAAGGTCTGCTTATTTTTTATAAATGATGAGTCACAGCTTTTTGCCACTTAGAAGTTTTTTCCCAATGACAGACACTTCAGTTATGAGGAAAAAAATTTCCAAAAGGATGGATTTCTTTTACTTCTATCTGGTAAGATCCTTCATATCTCATACACTGAATGTATGTCACGCCCATATGTGTGCACGCGCGCGCGCGCGCACACGCGCGCACACACACACACACACACACGCGCGCACACCCACCTATACACACAGCCACACTGCTGCGCTCCCTTAGACACAAGCGGACACAGCACGTTGCCCGTCTCATCCTGCAAACATGCTCTGAACCATCCATAGAGGGAGGAGCGAAGGTGGGAGCATCCTTTTGCATCAAGGTCCCTTCCCGTGAGCCCCGTCTGACAGGCATGACAGAGGGACCACTGCCTACACTTCCCTGCGGCTTTTAAGCTCTTGGGGGGAAACTGAGGTACCCAGTTGGTAAGTGACCATGAAGTGATATAAACAGAAGACGGTGAACAGAGATCCCGAGCCTGGGCCCGTTTCCACATCAGCTTCTAAAGAGGCCGATCTGCACGAGGAGACTGGCTACCAAGTTAACACGGAAGGGAAATCACTGTTATTGCCGCTGGTCACAAAAGTCGTGAAAGGCATGGCCAGCATGCAAACCCCCACTGGCCTGACTCCGAGCCCAGGCCCGGAGCCGGCGTACCTGCCGCTCGGTGCTTTAAAGAGACTAATAAGCAACCTGCCCGTGGCCACATGGAACTCCGAGCCCACCCTGGCTCGAGTTTCAGGGTCTCGCCGTTAGCACACGAGCAAACCTTCACTCCAGCGCTGGTCCCGGTCAGCACAGACAGGAGGAAGGAGAAACTGGGAAGCGAGGAGGGTGTTGCTGGCCCTGAGGGGACCCTCAGCCACACTTCTGACCTGCAGGGTGACCTTAAGCAAGTCACCCCTTCTCCAAGGCCTTGTTTCCCTACTCATCTTAAGGAGGCTCCAATCAAGAGCATATCCAGGGTCAAGAACACCCACGCAACTAGGACAAGGCTGCAATACCGTCTCCAAGATAGCCCAGCGGGCTGGCCTGCTGCTTCCCGTTTCTACGCCGCCAGGTGGCGAGGCGGTCCAGGGCAGACTCCTGGTCAACCTTGGACAACCTTGGGCACGTTCCTCTAGCTCTCGGCGTCTCAGTCTCCTCGTCTGTAAAATCGGGTAATAACAGTACCCATCACACAGAGTCGGTGTGAAAATTAACGGAAGCAGCTTGAACTAGAAACGGCACAATGTAAACAGTCGGTAAGTGGTGGCTATGCGGCCAGAGTCCTGCCTGTCCCCCTCACCGCGCCAGGCGGCAGTCCGTGCTGTGCCTTCTTCTGATGTTGAGTTGGGAGTTGAGCGTTTAAGAGAAAAGGAACACAGACCAAACACGATGGCCACTTGAAAAAACATTTCCTGGGACAAAATAAAACCCAGATCCCTTGAGGTTGACTTAGGAGCACAAGCCTCTACCAGGCAGGGGTGTGAAGGCAGGCAACCTGCTGGCAGGCATCTCCAGCACAGGGACCTCGGGGGCCTTTGCTAGGAGACCAGCACCCGGAACGGAAATGACAGGTGAGCCCTTAGGAAATCAGCCAAGCAACAGAGGAAATAGAAGTCAGCTTTTCCTCCGGTTACTGTACTGGCGTCATAAAGACAGGGATTAAAAAAAAAAGACAAACAAGAAGCACCTTCTCTTCCCTGCTTAAGACACGCGTTGGGGAAGTCCCTGTGCGTGCAGGGCTCAGGCCTCCGGTGCTGGCGTGCTCCGCGCTGGGGCGGCCGCGGCTGAGGAAGACCTGGGCCGAGACGAGGCTGCGCATTTCACAGGCACCCAAGGTTTGATCGGCAAGATGACGGTGACATGAAACATGGCATCACCTACAGCTCCAACCACAGAAGACGGGCATGAAAGCAGCCTGCGCTGAAGGTAGGAGGGAGTTCCTGTTTTCAAAATGGGTTTTGCAGCCTCCTGCTGCCGCAGCACTGGCGCCGGAGGGCCAGCAGAGGGCAGCACTGGCCCGAGAGCACAGCTCCTCTGCCGCCCTGGGAACCAGGTGGAGGGCAGTTTAAGCTGCAACCACAGGCGCGGTTGCCTGGGTTGCCTGCACGGGCTCACGTGGAGCTGCGATCCACCTTCCAGAAAACTGATGGCTCCAGGGAACGCTGTCGTCTTCCGCACAGGTACCTGCCACAGCCACGGAGTCCCTGTGCTACAGTGCCGAGGGGCTTAGAGCTCAAGGAGGCCGAGCGACTCAACCCTGCGATGAAGGAAAGTCTGTCCTGGCAAGTTACCGCCGACTGCGATTTCTCAGTTAATGATTACAGCGCCGCGGAGGGACTGAAAGGCCACGTTATCAGCACACGGGCGGGCCATGCCGATATGTGACCCAGAACAAACTGTGCTCACAGGTGTGACCTTTCAGCCCAGCGCGACCCAGCGTGTGCTGCCGCGGCGACGCTCACACACGTCAGGGCTCCACCAGAGCAGGGACGTACCTTGTTGGGAAGAGTCTGGAGAGTCGAGGCTGAAATTCAGCAGGATCTTGAGCAGGAAGAGAAAAGCCATGGTTAGAGTCCATCGTGTCTTACAACAGAAAAATACATCGGTCATGGTCTAGCTGAGACGTACAACGGGAACAGAGACCTATCAGGGTAAACGTAACATTCAAGCCACGATTCTGGGATACTTAAAGACTGTTATAAAACAATAGCTCGTTTCCAAGGCTGCCTGACCCCGAGGACGAGGAGAGGGCCTGGGGGTCGGAGAGGGCGCCGTCTCCCGGGGGCTTGGCAGCATCTGGACAAGTACTCGGAGCGGGTCACTCAGGCTGCTGCGAAGGGTTCGGTCCAGAAAACAGCGAGCTCGTGGCCAGGTTTCTCCACTGGGAGGGTGTGAGTTTGAGGAGCGCATGTTCAGCTTCCCGTGAACACCCCTGCCTCGCCCTCGAGCCGAGCCTCCTGCCGTCCAAGCGCAGGACGAGGCCTGTACCGGACCCGTCTCCCGGGCAGAGCGCGGCAGCCAGTGGGCCCGCTGCCCTGGGGAGCCTCTGCTTTGGAGGCGTCCAGGCCAACCCTCAGCAGGACAGCCCGTCACAGAGCAGCACCCCTCCCGCCGAAGGAGGCTCAGGCGCCCACCAGCCTCCTCCAGAGCCGCCAAGGCCACGGAAGCTGCCCGTCAACCGCTCCTGGGGATCAAACCTACCGATCACAGCTCCCCCTTCCCTTCGCCTTTCCCCTGAGCGCCCGCGTGTCTGGGCTCCTGGGCTTACTGGGTGCTGCCTTGTTAACGCCAAGGGCTACGCAGTGACCTACTGTCAGTGGCACATGCAGACGGAACAGAGACAGCAGCACGGATACGCGTTGGGATCAGAGAGACCTGGATCCCAAGGTCCCCCGTCACTTGTCACGCAGCCTCGCAGTTTCCTTGTTGACCATGTGGGAATAAGGCTGTGACACTGCACTGAACTCCCTCACAACACGCGGTGCAGAAGTGACTGCAGTCACTGTCGGCCCCGCCGCCCCCCCCCCCCCCGGCCCCCGGGACAGCGCAGCTGGCATCCGGGATGAAGTGTTGAGAGCATGTACAACCAAGATGTTAAAGTTGGTGTGAGAGACGAATGCTGGGCGTCGGTGCCCAGAGGCTGGGTCTGGGCTGCTCTGGAGGGCGCGCGTGGCACATAAGCCACAGGCGTTCCAACACAGAGACAAGCGCCTGCAGAGGGACAAACGGGCTCTGAAACGGGTGAGGAGGTCCCAACCGTGTCCCTCTGCTTCCCCACCCCTGAAGCAGAGTTCACGACGCGGCGCCGATGGACAGGGCTCGGAGGGCACAGAGCAAGCCAGGCGGGAGTGACACACACCCAGAGCGGAACCAGGCTCCGCGGGAAGACAGCACGCAGCCCGGCCTGTGCACCTGCACAGCCACGTCTCCACGCTACTGACGCTGCCCTCTCAACGAGTCGGCTCACACTCACACTCACATCCACCGACTGCCCCTGGAGCCAGCGCTGAGCTGGGAGCTGCCGGAAACGCGTGCGTAGAGGGCGTGGACACACCTGCGTGTGGCCGTACAATCTAACGGTGGGGTGGCGTCTAATACACAGGAGCAAGTCCACCCGCTGTGGGTGGAGGGCCTCACTCTGACCGAATGATGACGGCCATTCATGGCCAGGTGAGCGTGGGGCAGGCTGACTAGGTGGTGGTGGGGGGGGGGAGCTTTGCAGAGGATGGGGCCTGAGCTGGGCTCCACAGGGGTGGCCTGGGCAGGTGGCCAAAGGGTAGGAGGGCAGGGAGGGGACAGTGACATCGTGTGGAATGTAGCGGGCAGGTGCAGCTCAGTAAGAATGGGGGGAAAGCCACTGAATTTGGCAAATGGGACTTTGGGGAGGTTAGATGGCAAGGGATTTGAATAACAAGACTGCAGAAGGGGTGTGTGTGTAAGAGAGCTCACGTACGTATACCCAGGCGCGCGCGCGCGCGCACACACACACACACACACACACACACACACACGGGGAAAGCTGAGACCAGGACGGCAGGAGATGAGAAACATCTGCTAAGACCTCGTACGTGGGAAGCCATGTGCTGGGGTCACTAAGGTGAGCAAGACAGGGCACCAGTCCACACGGAGCGGGCAGGGCAGGGCAGCGGGGGAAAGACAAGTAAACAGACATTATTACAACAACGGGGCAGACCCTAGGAGGGGAAACTCTAGAGGCCACGGGGCCCACCAGTGAGGCACCTCTGGGGTCAGGAACAGCTTTCCCAAGGGCTGCTCCCTCCACCCACAGCGGGTGGGCAAGTCGACCAGTTGGGGTGGGCAAGGGCCTCCTTCCTCTACCCACAGCGGGTGGGCAAGTCGACCAAGCGGGGTGGGCAAGGGCTGCTCCCTCCACCCACAGCAGGTGGGCAAGTCGACCAGTCGGGGCTGGGAGCCCTTTCCTCAGGTGCCTTGGGGACTAGTGTGCACAGGTGCCCACTGGACTGGGACAGAGAGAAGTGACTCAGTGACGCCCAACAAGAGCCCCTTTCCAGACCCCAACGCCTCTGAGGCCACAGGGGCTGGCAGGCCCCCGGGGACTGACACGCGCTCACTGGCGGGGAGATGGGCACGACTGTCACGTGCACGGCACGAAGACGCTCCCACGCGACGGCGAGTGCACAGCACGCCCAGCCTGAGCAGGAGAACGCAGGGCTCCCCCGATGTCCACCCCCCCACCCCCCACCCCACCTCTCACGGGAAGGCCGGGAAAGGAGTCGCCGAGGGGGAGAGCCGTGCTGAAGAAGAAAACAACACACACTTTCTAGTTCACTTTCCAGCTTTCTGTGTAATTTTCTGTTAGGAAACTTTTACCCGAGACTTAAATGGGAAAACATTTGCTAGATTAGAACAGTAAGCACACACACATGGAACAAAGCAGAATCTTTCCAAGCGGAGGCGGGTTTAAACGACCCCCCGCCCCCAACACCGAGGCCCCCATCTCACCAGGCAGAGCAGGGGTGTTCGCTCTTGTGACGCGTGGGAACCACGGACCGTGGCCACCGCCCAGGAAGAGGGGCCTGGGGGCGGCCTGGCAGTCCTCCTCCTCGGCTCTTCCTAGAACCCACTCTGGCCGGTGACGGGCGGACGTGTGGCTCCTTATCTCCAAACCCACGTCGCTGGTAAACACAGGTGATGCTGCCTCCACGGGGGCGGGACCGGGGGCCGTGCCGCCGCTTCTCCCAGGACGAGGGACAGTCCTCCCAGGAGATCCCCGGAGATGCTTCCCTGGATACTTACGCTCTCAGGGGAAACGCCGTGTGATCACTGTGCCGCCACCGTAACGAAGCGCAGGCCGGCTTCCCCGGGCACCTGGGCACCTGGGCAGGAGAACGCAGGCCTGCTCCCCGGGCAGGATCTGGGCAAAGCCTCTTTCCTGGATGGGCTTTCCCTTCTCAGGTGAACGACGTCATCTCCTGGTGCCATCAGGGCAACACCGTTTCCCTAGAGGCCGGGGCAGTGGCTGGGCGGGCGCCAGCTGGAGGCTGTGGTGCCCTGCATGCCCCTTTGGCCCCTGTGGACGGTGGGGGTGGCGTGGGGGTCCAGAGAAGAACCATCAGGACTGTATGTGTGTGTGGGGGGGGAGAGGAGAGGGGATAGGGGGAGGGTTAGGGGGAGGGGGGGCCCAGCCCCCTCCAGGCCGCAGCCGGGCAGGAAGAGGGCTGGCACGTGCTGTCCCGAAGGCTCTGCCCGCTTCCCTGTCCCGGGCTTTCCCTGCCCCCTTCACGTCTAGAGCATCTTCTAGAGACAGCATTTCCTCAGGCCCAGAACAGCGTGTTCTCAGAACATTGCTCAACTCTCCCTCCTGCGGGAAGGGTTCAGCTTGTTTCTTAAGAACCGGTGTGACTCCCATCTGGAGAGAGAGAGGGAGGGCACCAAACCCTGTGACCGGGCACACACAGAAATGCTATTGCTCCTGTTGGTGCCCGGAGCTAGGTCACCGCACCGACCCAGGCGTGTGGAAGAAGCCACGACGACAAGTACCTCACTGGCTGGTTTCCTTCTGGGTAAGTGACGGTCTCCCTCTGACCCACGTCATTAACATTCCTCAAAGGGCAGGTGGCCTCGCAGCCTGTAGGCCGGGGGCCCCTCGGAACCCCCTCCCGAGGTTTGGACAAGGGGCCGGGCGGCCAGAGGGGCCTGGGCGACAGGCCTCCCCTCCCACCCCGGTGTCTGGCAGCCCCGGGCCCCCAGGTCCGGCTCTTCACCCCTGGAACAAGCAAGCTGTGTTCCATGGCTTCGCCTTTGCTCTAAAACAAACACGACTGGGGCGTCGGGCTGCTTTCTGCTCGGACCTCACCTGAGGGGTTCTAGTCACCAGCCCGTGTGCGGACGGCGACCTGCTGAGAGGGAAACATTCTCAGTCATTCAAGGCCAGCGAGAGTGTTGGCTCCGACTTCAGAGGGCAGGATAAACACACCCCGCCCGGGCGGAGCTCTCGCCGCCGCCTGCTGCCCGGTGTTTGGTGCCGGCACCACGGCACTGTTCACGCACTTCCCTAAAGGCCGGGCGTATTCAACCAGCTGCTGATCTCTCGGGAGGGTCACCGGGATTGACTGATTTGCAAATTCTATCCAAAAGCAGGTCAGCTCTCCTACCCCACACCAGTCAAAAAACAAAGACGAAAGCTTCCCTCTTCTTAAGATCCTCTCTCCCCAAACTGCCCTCCCAAATTCCAGTGAGTCTCTGGGCTGGCGTGGCTTCTAGAACCAACTGACCTCGGACTGCCAAATGCATCTCGATTCAGGCCTCACTGATCTGGAATCACATAGATGCAGGGCCCCGAAATGGTCTGGTTTCTGGTAGAATCTGCCTCCATTCTTAGGCCTCAGAAACACCAGGACACGTTTTGAATGTCCGTATTTCTGCGTGGCTGACTTTTCATCCGTACAGTGCTCCTGAGAAGCAAACAGGAAGCGGAAGGAGAAAGGTCGAAGCGTACCTGACAACTCACAGCTCCCCCGACCTAAGGCAACCTCCCCGGCCCCGGGTGGTCACAGGGCACACATCCAGAGCGCGGGTGGTTACCTCTGCCTCCGGGGATTCCTCAGCTCCACAGAATTAACTGGGCACATAATGTGTAAAAAAAACCCTTTTGTTGTTGTTGTTAACCCTCACAGGGGATTTTAGAGGGAGTGGCAGGGACGGGGAGAGACAACCATGTGAGAGACACACATAGACTGGTTGCCTCCTGCATGGGCCCCATTGAGCCTGCAACCGAGGTATGTGCCCTTGACTGGAATCGAACCCGGGACCCTTCAGCCAGAAGGCCGATGCTCTATCCACTGAGCCAAACCAGCTAGGGCTAAACTTTTTTTAAGTTAAAAAGTTCCGTGCTCAAAAAGCAAGAGCCGTGATTCTATTCTCTCCAGTCCTGCAAGCTGGCCACGGTGGTGGCACGGCTAACCCACCCCCAGCCTCTGCGTTCAGGCCCCTGACTAATGGTCACCAGACGCTCTCATGGCCTCGTGGGCGCTGAGTGAGCTGGCGGCGTTTCCTAAGAGCTCTGTTCAGCTGTGAAAATGCAGGGCGCCTCTTGCTTTGTTTTCTTGAAGAATCCTGGTCAGCTGAAACGATGACTTGCTGCTCAGACTGGCCCGCCTTTTGCTGCTTGACAAAGGGCTTGTTTTGCGGGGCACGGAGAGGTGGGGGCCAGCTGGTTTTCCAGACTGAGGTCACCTCTGTTCCCTGGTGTAGTCAACAAACCAGGCTCTCCTTTTCCTTTTAAAAACCTCCTTTCAAAAGCAACACCACATGTCTGTCTTCTGGAAATGAAATACAAGCAGCATTATTTTTAAACACAGCATCCATCAGAGCACCTATGAATAGTAAAAAACTTTGACTTTTTTAAAACCCTCAACCTCAGTTGCTCATTTCCCTTGAGTATCAACAGCTTAGATATCTCTCTGT